GGGGGGGAAAGAAAGGAAACAAAAAGAGGTATGTGACATTAAAGGTGACAAGAGAGAGCAGGATGGGGGGAAATACTTCAAACGGTATGGGAAGAAGCAGAAAGTATTCCAACATGTGTGTCGAAATGACAATGCTATAAGATATTCTCAGAAGAGCTTCTTTGACGTAAAAATTGCATTGCTTGAATATAAAGTTATATTGAGACAGAGTAGGCGCTGAATGTAAAAGGGAAGCCATGCACAAGAGACTATGCTAAGCAAACATTTAATGCTGTAAGTCCCCGAAGAGTTAATGAGAGGGATAGAGAGAGTACAAACTCAGAGGGTAGAAAACGCTGAAGTGTTCGCTTTTAACTATCTACAAAGTAATTAACTTTATAGAGGTGCGAACTGCCTGGGGTATGACAACGCAAATTGGAGACGAAAATCAGATTTGGAGTTCCCATCTCTTTGATAACCTTACATACAGTGTTGGAGTAAAAGTTGTTCCCGCATCCGATCCGGACATTGAGGATTGCCTTGCTAGTGAGACAACTTCCTGGGCCTTCGGCATATAGTGGTTGAGTAGCCAGTTCCTTTCCCCGCCGCCTTTACTTCCCCAACTCGAAGTCAAGTACCCTTTACTGCTGAGTGGGCAGAAGGGGGCGAAAAAAATCCGTGTCCGAACCGAGGCTCGAACCCGGACTTTCCGGTTCGGAGAAGAGCGAACTAAAGCTCCACCACCGTACCCTCACAGTGTTGGAGTTCGCCTATACAAATACAAATTACACTAAGTAGCTACTCACCACGCTAGGTCCGTCATCACTGCGCGTGACATTCACGTAGAAGGCGCCGGAGCTCGGTGTCAACTCGTACGCCTGAACTCCAAACTGACCAATGTCAAGGTCCTCTGCTCCCTGCAAGGGGAAGGACGTTCCAGTGGCAACATTTTCAGGCATGTTCACTTGGATATTTGATCGAGGAAACTCTGGTGGGTTGTCGTTTATGTCTTGAACTTTGATGACCACTTTGACCTTTTTGAAGAACTGGCTGATAGCTGATTGGACAGCCACTTGAATGTCAAGGTCGCAGGTCGTGTCAAATTTGCATAATTCTTCTCGGTTGATTCTACCGATCGCAAAAATCTAGAGGAAGAGAATAAATCGAAAACATAACGTTCACACATCGGTTTAGAACTGTATACTGTAACACAGTCTCTTGGCATTTAAGGAGCCGTTCTGTTGAATAGCACGTACCAATACTTTATGTAAACTAACTTCAGGCTTTAATGCATTTTCTCATCACTCAACAATTCTCGCATTGTATTAGTATCTGGATTTTAAAAAAATTCCATTCAAAATTCACTAACGCGTTCATTCATTCATTCATTCATTCATTCATTCATTCATTCATGCATGCATTCATTCATTCATTCATTCATTCATTTATTCATTCATTTATTCATTCATTCAGTTCTTCTTTCACTTAACCAATCTAATTCATTTATTCATTAGATCATTCTTTCATTCCTTCAACATTAAAATGTATCCTTTCATTCACTCATTGACCCAACCGTCCATTCACGTAAAAGAGGAAAGATCAAACAAAACAAGCAAACAAAAGTGAATAGACAACTAAATAAACAATCAAACAGACAAACAGACAAACCAACCAACCAACCAAACAAGTCAACAAACAAATAAACTGCCAACATACCTGCCCCGTATCCTCATCCACCCTGAACAGTGAGTCGTGCGGAGTGCCTTGAGGCAAGAGACTATACCTCAGAGACAATCTCACTCCGGGCTCCAGCTCTAGGGGTAATACGTCATCATCCCCAAGACTCCCAAGTTCAAGGCCGATCGTCTTCTCTTCCTCCACGGTAAACTCGACCACTGGATCCGCTCCTTCAGTCAGAATAACCACCTCGGATAATAGAACCAGTAACAGAGCTTGGGCCCACGTTTTCATTTTTGACGTTTGAAACTGTGACCTCATCATTATGTAAAATGAATTGAATATCGAGTACCTAGTCTTCGATTAAATTCCTATTGATACTTTGACGTTTCCCGGAAACGAAGTACCAAAATGGCTTCAGCAATTGTATCCATCGATTGTGTGTTCTTTATAGTTTTGTAATGGCTATACATACACGTGTGACGTCATGATATAAGTTTATGATGCACTCTCAAGATGTCGGACATTCCGGCTAGTTCCAATCACACCTGTAAGAAGAAATTTTTAATGAACATTAATACATTAGTTCACTTCCATAAATAAACAAATCGCTAATTCCAGGTAAGAAACGTTTCGAAATGA